CTACTATAAACATGATAGATAACCAAAGATAATCGCACTATATTCAACACTAAACCGGAGAGATATAATCTCTAATACGCCCCCACAAGATGGAAGTATGACATCTTGGATTTGAAGATTTATGTGCTCAAAAAGACTTTTATGAGAAAGCAACAGTGTCATTTTCTTCCATGTAGAAAGACTAGACACCTTCATAAACTGGATTATAGAGAAATGAATCACATGTCGTCCTCTTCTTCAATAGCCATGAGAACTTGAGAGATCTTATTTGCCGTGAGTGGCTTGAATCCAAGATGAGCTTGATAAAACTGTTAAGTATCACAAGTGAAGAATACTGCTCAAAGAACCTTGAAGTCTCCATGAGTTTGTAGCCAAGTAACATCACAAACCAGCCATAGGAGTAGCAAGCTGTAGACAAGTAAAGGGCATCGTCACTTTTAACCCAAACATTCTCTTACCAAAACCATGTCCACAAAATAATTCTGCTACTAAAATCTTGAGGATGATGATTTTATAGAGGCCATAGCAATGATCCAAAGAGGAACCAATAGTTCTTAATTTCATAGTACCACCAGAATGTGATCCGAAATTGTATCTCTCCGGTTTAGTGTTGAATATAATGCGATTATCTTTGGTTATCTATCATGTTTAAGCTTTCTCTGTTATCTCTATTAGTATTTAAGCTTTCTCTGTATCATATTTTACATTTAATGAAGGTTTGACGATTGCTGATATGGTATCAGAGCAAAGAAACACCTGATTTCTTTTTGCTCACATCATCTTTCGCTTCGTTTGTTTCCGTGATTTTGATTGATCGTTATCGATCTATCAGTTTTTCCTATTCTCCAGCTTGATTCGAGCTTCAATTTCATCGATCAAGCTTGGATTTCATCAAATCTTCCCTATCGAGCCCTGATCTCTTTGAATCGAGCTCCAATTTCTTTGAATCGAGCATTGATTTCTTCATTTCTTGTCTCGATTTCTCAGCCAGCCTCGAGTTTGTTTACTTCGTTTTCAGAGATCAGATTTCCTCGATCGTTTGTTTTTGCTTCTTTGAAGCTTCGTTATTCTGATTCATTATTGATTCAGATTTCTGTGTTTTTCCACTTCGCGATCCATATCTGTAGTTGATTTGAGCTTCTTCTTCTTGTTTCCTGTGCGATTTCTGCTTTTCTTCGACATTCCTATTCGAAATTGAGCTGCAATCGATTCTCAGCGGTGAAACGGAAGAATAATTCCGAGTATCAAACAATCTACACCGGATTTGCCAGGAAATCACTTCACCGGAGTCTTGTGAGAAGCGTGTTGGCTTTAATTCTCCTCGCATTGCTTCAGGTGTTCAAAGATCGTGCTTAATTTTGCCGATCTTGGTCAATTTGTTCGGTTATTTTGCTGAATTTTGCTTGGATCGAGTTTTCCAAGTTTCAACTCACGGTTGTTTCGCCGATCTGCTAGGAGATCTTCCATTCGTGAAGATATTTCTCCGTTTTGTATCAGCTCTTCCGTTGAGTTTGGTTTCTGCAATTCGAGTTGCTTCAAGTGTTGTTTCGGTTTATCAGGATGTGTTGATATCGATTGAGCTTGATCTGTGATTGCTATTGTGATGGATTTATATTCATCGTTTGCTGGTTTTGATGAGCTTATTGCTCCACCAGTAGAGATTATTGTCGATGACAATCTACTTGGTGAACATTCATGGTTGAAATTGATGATCGAGCCGGCGTTCCTATACGGATCTCTTTTACGGCCACCAGATCTACATTCTCCTATGGTATGTGTTTGGATTATACACTCAATCTCCCACCAACTAAGTTCTGGAACAGTCTATTGTTGTGTTCCTCATGAACCTTGTATAGATTCAGAAGATAGCTTTAGGCATCCCAATCTTTCTAGACAGAGGGAGATTTGGTTAGACAATCTTATGCAGAATCATCAGCTCGTTATCGCTCCACGATGCTTAGAATTAAATGGAGTTGGCGTGATCTCTGAGATTGTTCCTGCATTATGTTGCGTTGATGGGTTTATACATTTGGTATCCATGGGTTGTGAAGCTGTTCCCAAGATGTTGGTTTCTCAAGGATTGAGAATGATAGATACTGATGGTTATGGCTTCTATGCCACTGATGTTGCTATACAAATTCTGCAATTAATCGCAGAGGAGTTTCTTTTTTGTTCCAACTGTGTTTTGCTTGGTCAAACATTTGCAAGATGTTCCACAGTTCACAGCTATCCACTTGGTTATACACCAAAACAGGGGGAGTTTTTACCTTCATATCCAATCTGCAAACTTCTGAACTCTTCCACTAAGGATACAAAATCGAGGACGTTTACATTGCACAACTTAGTCTTTCTTGTGCTGATGCAACAGAGTTTTCATCCAGTCTCGTTACAAAGACAGAGTCAAGACTATGATTTTTTTCGACAGACCATTGTGATTCATTCCGGTTGGTTTGGATCCATACTTGAGTTCCTTTATGGCTTATTACCAAGACCACCTGACGTTCTTTACGTTTTCAGTCCAAAGCCTACAATTCTCATGGTTGTTCAAGTCCAAGATGCAAGTCCCTTCCATCTTGAGGGGGAGTATTAGAGATTGTAGAGTTTGGTTTACTTCGGTTAAGTCACATTGTATATAGTTCGGTTATCTCCATTGGTTTATTCTTAGTATTTAAAGCTTCTTCTTATCATTGTAAACGTAAGTTGAGTGTTATAGAGAAATAGAAAATCTGTTGGACAAATTCTCTTCTTCTTCATCACAAATCCTCTCAACTTCCATGGAGATTTTCGTTTACTGATACACTATAATGGTGAAAAAGATTACTTGTTGAACAAAGTGCGAAAAATGTTTGTATTGTTAAGAAGAACTTTTGTGTATTTTAACTAATTCCTTCGTTGAAAAAGGTTAATAGTATTTCGTGTGAACAAAAGATTTTTTTTTTTTTTTGACGTCTAGATTTATTATTTATTACAAATTATGAGAACTGTTACATAGACGATTCTACAACGGACAATTCCTTCCGACCCTTATTAGATCCACGACAGACGACCCTTCCTTCTCCATGCTCTTGACGGACACCTTCAATGATCCACGACCTGACGACACTTCTCTCTCTGCGTAGAATCCTGGCGAACGGCTATAATTGTACTTCGCTGGAGATCTCATGCACACTTGCCTCTTTTAATATGCAAATTTATTAATAAATCGCAATACCTGGGACTCGAACCCCAGACATCTTGGTGTAGAAGCATTAATTAACCATTAGTCAACCAATGGACCAAGGGGGCTTCCACGTGTGAACAAAAGATTAAGGCATTTTTTTAGCTTTTGGTAAAACCAAAGTAAAATAGTTTTAAAATTTTCTATAAAAAAAAATAAAATTAACAGAACAAACCGGTTAGAACCAAAATCTTGATTAGATGACTTAGAGAGTTTTTTTATATATAAAAAAAAAATCAATGATTTAAGTATTTAGTTTAAGAAAAAAAACCAGGAAAAACATAAGGTTTTGGTTCTCAAATATATTAGTATAACTAAAACAAATTGAGACTTAAAACTAGCAGATACAGTAAAACCTCTATAAATTAATAATGTTGGGACTGTGATATTTTATTAATTTATAGTGATATTAATTTATCTATAAATTAATACTTATTAATTTATATCGTAAATTAATATTTATTAATTTATAGAAAGTTTTATTTCAATTATGAATTTTTTTTTTAAAAAAATACGAGGTAAAGCAATGTGATCTAAATAAAATGAATGTTTTAAATTTTATAAATTTTATAGTTTTAGCCTTAAACACTTAATATTTTGAAGAAAAAATAATTTATTTTGACAATGAATAACAACGATTATAAAAGTCACATATATAAACGATTTACATATATAAAAATTCACAAATAGTGACATCCATTGTTGTATTTTAAAAACCTGTACGACTATTAAAATAAATATCATGTATATTCAAAATTTAAAAACTTAAAAAATATTTTAGCTATATTTATGAAAAACACTAAAACTATTATATATATATATATATATGTGCAAAATTACATAATTATTAATTTATGATATTATTGGGACTATATTTTTACATAGAAATTTTAAAAAACTTATTATCTTATTATCTTATCAAATTTGGTTCATTTTTACATTGACCCAACTCGGGACCGGCCAAATTTATTAATTTATCGTGTTTATTAATTTATCGAGTATTAATTTATAGAGGTTCTACTGTAATTTGATGATACTGTAAAACCTCTATAAATTAATACTCTATAAATTAATAACCTCTATAAATTAATAAACTCTTCTGGTACCAGTGTAAAATATGACATAAATCGATAAATTAATAAGATAATAATTTTTTTGAAAATCTCATATAAACATATGGTCCCATGGTCCCATCGATATCATAAATTAATAATTGTATAAATTTATCAATATATATATATATATATATATATATATGATATAAATTTATTTTGAATTACTATGATATATATTTAACGTATTCTATGTAAAAAATTTAATAAAATATGACTCTAATATTCGAAAAAAGTTTGTGTTGTTTTCTAAAACTTAATAATTGCTTCTTTACTTGTAATTAGTTTTTAAAAAATATTACTTATAAAGAAAAGAATTAGTTTTAGATAGAAATATTTTTAAAAAATTATAAAATTAGTAAAATCTCTCTATTAATTTATCGATAAATTAATACATCTCTAAATTAATAAAATTTGCTAGTCCCAACATTATTAATTTATAGAAGTTTTACTGTATTCATAATCAGAAAAGATGAAATTACACTTTATTGGGCCACTAACAGGCCCATTTCTTAAATGCATAATACCGAACCGGCCGCAAGCAGACAAAAACCAGAGACAGAAAACAACGAGACAAATAATTTTTTTTTGGTAGGCACAACGAGACAAATAATAGTAATATATTTTCGATTTTCATATAAAATCATTTTACAACATAAAAATACTAATTTTCTTATTTCCGTCGACTTTCTTCTTTTTCAAAATCGCAACTTTTTATTCTTTATCTCCCCTTTCGATCATCGGAAAAGCTCTCATTTTTTCAAGTCTCCCCAACTCATATACTTGAATTTTCTATTATCTCTCTCAGAAACTTACATCAATTCTCTCTGTTTGGTTGAATTCTCGAGATCTGTTTTGTTTCTGAATCCTTGTAATATTTGTTTCCAACCAGTAAAAATGGGGTTTTGTGAAGGTTTATGAGTCCTCTATATTCAAAATGGCGATCTTTTGGTCTTGAGTAAAATTGTGTTTCTTCTCTGTTTTTGTTAAAGTTTTGATTTTTATTTTGGGGTTTGAAATCGAGAAACTTTGATGGAAGCGGGTAGCTCCAATTCGTCGGGTCAGCTCTCCGGGCGGGTCGTTGATACAAGAGGCAAACATAGGATTCAAGCTGAACTCAAAAGGCTTGAACAAGAAGCTCGATTCTTAGAGGTATATTATTACTCTCCTCTTAAACCCTCTTCTTGTTTCGACTTGCTTGGCCTTTTGGCTGATTATTATATCATATAATCCAGATTGGATCAACCTTTTGTTTTTGTGCTTGGCTCTTTTTGGATGGAATTGTATAAATCTGAGTGGAGTACGGTAGAGAATTTCAAAGTTTGAAACTTTTTTAGTTTTGGGAATTGAGTAGCTGTTAAGGGAATCAATGACTGAATAGTTTTGTAATTTTGATTTTGTAACAGTTGGTATTGTGGGGTTGCTTTTAGTGTGTTAGTAGTACTTGTCTCTTGATCTAGTTCGTTTTTATATTGCTTCATTGGATCTTAGATTAAGGGAATCTATCTGATTAGTTTTTGTTGTTGTGATTCAATGAGTGGGATAAAGAAAACAGTTTTGGTTAGTTTGATTTTGTGGAAGTTGGTATTGTGGGTTGTTTTCCCTGAGTTAGTAGTGTCTTTGATGTAGTTCCTATTGTATAACAAACACTTGAGGTGTGTTACTTTCTCTCAGTTAGTAGTGTCTTTGATTTAGTTACTTTTGTGGTTTTGTATAATACTTCAGAAGCTTAACAATTGTATCTCAGATTACAAAGGCTTGATTGAGCAAAATAGTGTACCATTTGTTCATGTGTTGTGGTGACATGTGACTTTGTTTGTATAATACCTTCTGAAGTATATAGGGTTTATGAGTGAGCTCGTCCTTAGTGTTCATATGGAGTTCAAAAGATAGTGGAAGATGGACCTTAGAATTGAGCAATCTCACTTAAAAGAATTGTAGTGTTAAAACAGTCTCCTTTTAGATAGTTTTTGTGATGCTAAATAATATTCAAGACGTGAGAGAATAGATCAATGTACTTCTCTTGATAGAACAATACATCAGGGTTCAAGAATGGTGATGAGTGAAACGAAAATGTAGAATAATTAGTAAATATCTAATGCAAAATCATTTTCAGGTTATGTAATATCTTGTCCACATGGCTGTTTAAACATTTGTGAAATCAAATACTTGCTTAAAACTCACAAGGTATAACTTTCTTCCTTCAATTATAATCAGGAAGAGCTGGAGCAGCTTGAAAAGATGGACAATGCATCAGCGTCATGCAAAGAGTAAGAATTTGTTGTATAACTGATATACGGTTTGCGGATAATCATTCCACAATCTTGACTCATTTCTCGAATGGATGCAGGTTCTTAGACAGTGTTGAGAGCAAACCCGATCCTCTTCTTCCCGAGTAATTCTACTTGTGTTTTCTGATAGTTTCATTTCTATCTACTGTGAGATGATGACTTGTTCTAATTTGAAAGCTTTTGTGACTGACTACTTGCAGAACAACAGGTCCGGTGAATGACACATGGGATCAATGGTTCGAAGGCCCTAAAGAAGCTAAACGATGTGGCTGCTCCATTCTTTGATCTTCATTTCCCTCTCTTAATTTTTTTTTTGGTCTCTACTTCTTCTAGAAGAGTGAGTTTGTGTGTGTTTACGGCAGTGAAATTGATGTAATTGGCAAAAAATGATTCATTTGTGCAGATAAAATCTATTGATATTAACTGTGTCTTAATTTAAAAAGAATACAACAAGTTTGGGCTTAACTACAACAGGGCCCAATAGTAGCCTTTAGTTACAAACCCATTATTATTCTCGTTAACCCTAAAACACACACACGAGACACGACACAATTGTTGCTTCTTCTACTTTTTAACTTATCGATTCCAGATTTAGGTTTAATCAAGAGATCAATCTTCAACACTATCTCTATCTCTATCTCTCGCACAAAGCTACTACAACCTCTTGATACAGTGTAAATGGGTAAGAAGAAGTCAGAGGAGATAGTTGCTATGAGGAATGGGAAGAAGGAGAAAGTTTCCGTGGTAGCCATTCTTGCAAGCATGGATAAGATCAGGGCCGGCCCAAACTATTTGAGTGCCTAAAGCAAAAAATTTTTTGGCCCATTAACAAAAGCTGTTATAAAAAAAAAATACAAGTTTTAACATGTATGGGATTCGAAACCGTGACCTGTACAACAAAAGATTTCAATCTAACCACTAGACCAAAGTAACCTTTTAAAAATGGATACCTTTAAAACTACTTATAATTATTTGATGCCTAAAGCCCTTGCTTCATGGGCTTTACCCATGGGCCGGCCCTGGATAAGATTAAAGATGATAAAGCCAAGATCAATAAGGGCTCATCGTCCAGAGCTCTAAAAGTTTCGTCCTACACTGATGACGTAGATTATCCTCCTAGCTAATCATGATCAAGAAGACGAAGAAGACCTAGGCGTTTCTGATGAGAAACAGAGACAGATGCATGCAAATGAAAAGCAACTGGATTTCTCTGTGACTCCTAAGAAAAAAATGAAGGCAAAGAGTCACCTGGCTGCAGAGATGGAAAAGAGGGAGGCCCGTCCTCTTCTGCAGTTGATTGAGGTTAGCTTCTGCTACCCAAACAAGTCAAGATTCAGGCTCTCAAATGTGGATTTAGGTATAGATATGGGGACACGAGTAGCGATAGTTGGGCCTAACGGAGCTGGAAAGTCGACTCTTTTGAATCTTATTGCGGGAGATTTAGTTCCGACTGAGGGTGAAGTGAGAAGAAGCCAGAAGCTGAGGATCGGCAGGTACTCGCAGCACTTTGTTGATCAGTTATCAATGTGGGAGACACCGGTTGAGTATCTTCTTCGTCTGTATCCTGACCAAGAGGGATGTAGCAAACAAGAGGCGGTGCGTGCAAAACTGGGCAAGTTTGGGCTAACAGGTGAAAACCATTCAACTCCAACTGCGAAATTGTCTGGAGGACAAAAGGCTAGGGTTGTGTTAACCTCAATCTCAATGTCGAAGCCACACATTTTGCTTCTTGACGAGCCAACAAATCACCTCGACATGCAGACGATAGATGCCTTGGCGGATGCACTAGATGAGTTCAAAGGAGGAGTTGTGTTGGTGAGCCACGACTCGAGACTCATAAGCCGTGTCTGTGAGGATGAGGAGAAGAGTGAAATTTGGCTTGTGGAAAACGGGACAGTGACTTTCTTCCGAGGCACGTTTGAAGAGTACAAAGAAGAACTCATTGGAGAAATCAAAGCAGAGGTTGATGAGTTAACTTCTCTTGTTGGCTGCTAAATAAAAAAGCCTCTGTGGCTCTGTTCATGAAATATGTTTTCTTTCTTTCTTGCACTATATATTTTGCTCGAGTTTGCTTTGCTTAATGCCTCGAAATAACGCCCTCTAGTTTGTGTTGTTATTGTATTGTTTTAACATCATCATCGTTGTTGTTGTTGCAAACTGATGTGGCACGAGATGAAGAAGAACATGTTTCCTTTGAAAACATGACATGACTACACCTTACAGGATTCCTTCCAAGCCCGTGGTTATCGCAGACTGCAATGAGCTCTGAGAGAGACTACAATGGTGGCTTGTGTTGTTTTAATGTTTGGTCTGTTTTTGTTTTTAGTTCGTTTGGATTTTGAGTTTGGTGTTAGTTTTAAAATCTGAAATAAAACAAGATTCTTTTCTTTCATATATAAAATTCTGGACACAGTTTCAATGAGAGCAACCAAAATAGTTGAACCTTGTTGCATAAAAGTCAGAGGATACAATGTTAAAGAACAGCTGAAGCAGACAAAAGACACAAAGAAGAATAGTACGCTCTCCGATTTCCCTTAACTCGTGGCTTTACCGGTAACTTTTTGGGCAATCCAACCAAGCCCATCGTACAATCCTTCTCCAGTAACTGCACAACTTGCTTGAATATGCCAATCATGGTTCTTAATACTGTGAAGGTTAAGTGCATCCGTGATCTCAGCAGGAGTCATCGCATCTTTCAGATCCTGTTTGTTTGCAAACACAAGTATGACCGAGTTTTGAAGATCCTCGTGACCAAGTAACCTGGCGAACTCATCTTTCATGAAAGAGATTCTGGCTCTGTCTGTGCTATCGATAACCACAATCACAGCATGTGTTCCGCGATAGTATGTTGCCCATGAAGTTCTTAGCCTATCTTGCCCACCAAGATCCCAAACCTGAAGACAACCATATCATAAGTAACATCGCATCAAATCTTTAATTTGCAAAGCTCAAAGTTGAATGTATGCAAGCGTCAAACAGTTATTTTTTTACAGGAAGGGATTTAAAGCTTTATGTGTCAAACAAAAGTTCGATTTATAAGTATGGTAACGTTTATATGCATCATTTGGTACTGACATACAAGAAAACATGCAGATTGTCATAAAACAGAAATGGTTTCATCTCAGGCCATGACTTGACCACTGTATAAAAGAAGACGTTCCAAACACCAATCCTCTGGCATTAAAACTAAGCTAGTAAGAAGTAGCAAACAGTCCACCCGGTATAACATAAAAGCCAGATAAACAGCATCTACAGAAATTTGTTATACGAAACCATAAATCGCAAGTATCCACACATATCAAAACGTTCAACACTATGGGCTTCTAGACCAATCATGACAAACATCCATTTTGCAAGAAAACTGCGGGCATTCAACATACCTAAAGACAATAACACAACAAAAGATTGCAAATTTAAGAAGAATTCATAAAGATTCAACTCCCATCTCCATGTCCTAAGATCAAACCTCAAAAAGAACCTAAGAAACAAGGATTCGCAAATCAAGAAAGTGTCCGTACCTCGAAGCGGATATTCTTGTAAACAAGCTCTTCAACATTGCTCCCAACAGTAGGATGAGTAGTAACAACTTCACCCAAATGAAGTTTATAAAGCGTCGTCGTTTTACCAGCATTATCCAAACCAACAACAACAATCTTATACTCTTTTGCAGGAAACATCATGAACCAAAACCTCGACATGAATGCTCCCATCTCTCTCTCCGCTTTATATCAAACACAAGATCCTAATCAAGAAAAAAAATCATTACTTTACAATGAAATTGTTCTACAAACAGTGAAATCAAGAAACCCTATAGATAGAGCATCAAAATTGAATCTTCAAACAAACCCAACTCAGAATTTTACAAGTTAGTGAATTAGAATTCGAATCAGAGAAGCCCAGATCAGATTTTGGATACAACGATCCCAGATTCGATCAAGTTTTACACCAATCTAAAGGATATATAAATACAAATCGGGAAATTTGTGATCAGACCTTGATTCAGCTATAATCTGGCGATGGCGGAGGCAAGAATCGGAGATCAAAAAAGTTCGTGTTCTACTTTTGGTAAGCTTTTGAGGTTCCTTCCTTTAAGCAGATGGGTGGAGAGAAGAAGAAGAAAAGTATGCGGGAACAATGTCAAAACTGTAAATATGATGATCTAAATAAAAAAAAATAACATTTAATAAAACGAATTTGTTTTTAAACCCAAAAAAAAAACACTTCACTTATAAACTCAAATGGGCCAAGCACTGGCTTAGGGCCTTTCAATATATTTAAGTTAAAAAAATATTACATTTGCTCGGCCCAGAGTAACGTCTCTCGGCCTAATAAGACAGGTACAAGATCATTTATAAGGGATTGAGTTTGATGCGTGTCTAATTTCTTACAAACCAGATTGTTTAAAAAATTTTGGATGACAATTAAATTTTTAAAATCTGTTCCTTAATTATTTGGTAATATGTTACACAAAAATTGTTCCTTATTTGGTAACAAAAATGTTAACACACGACTTGTTACAGAAAAATAACAATTTTGTCGAAACGTGTCAAAAGTTGATCATTTTTTTCATGGGAAATTGTTAAAAATACCTCTTTTGGTGTGTCTCTTTTCAAAAATTTCCCTTTTAGATGTCAATTTTAAAAAATGCTCATTTTTAAATCTGAAATTTTTATAAAGTTTTATGAGAAATTGTTAAAAATGCCCATTTTTCAATACCTCTTTTAAAAAATGCCCCCTTTGAGAATCCATTTTTAAGTTTGCCCTCTTTTAATTTTTAATGATCATTTTACCCTTATTTGAAACAAAATTAGGTCCACAAAATACAAAATATTTTTTGGCAGGAAAAGTGATCCCGCAAATTTTTGGCGGGAAACGTGATCCCGCAATTTTCCCGCCAAAATTTTTTTTTTCGGGAAAAGTGATTCAACAATTTTTTTGGCAGGAAAAATTTACAAGGTATTTTAAAGGTTTTACAGATTTTTTACAAGTGTTTTGTAAGGTTTTACAATGTATTTTAAAAGGTTTTACAAGGTACTTATAATGTTTTACTTTATAACTTGTAAAACCTTATAAAAAACTTGTAAAACTTTATAACTTGTAAAATTTTATAAAATAGCTTGTAAAATCTTATAATATCTTATAAATACCTTATAAATACGTTGTAAAACCTTTTAAAATACATTGTAAAACCTTATAAATACCCTGTAAAAACCTTTAAAATACCTTGTAAATTATTCCCGCCAAAATTTAACGCCAAAAAAATTGCGGAATCACTTTTCCCGCAAAAAAAAATTTTTGGCGGGAAAAATTTTTACGGGAAAATTTTACAAGGTATTTTAAAGGTTTTACAAGTTTTTACAAATCAAATTTGTAATTTTGATGTGTGCACATTCTCATGTTTTCCTTATATATTTTTGATATCTTTTATTAAAAGAAGGGTAATTTAGTCATTTTGTACATAAAAATGGGTATTTTTAAAAATTGACAGCCAAAGGGGGCATTTTTGAAAAGATGTATTGAAAAAGGGGCATTTTTTTTAGTCTCCCAAGTTTTATTAGGTTTATAAGGTACTTATGGATTGTAACTACTACTTGAAGACTCGATCCAAGTATTTATAAGGTTTTATAAGGTGTTTTTAAAGGTTTTACAAGTTATTTTAAAGGATTTTAAAGATTTTTCAAAGGTTTTACAAGATATTTTAAAGGTTTTTAAAATGCATTTATAAGGTATTTATAAAGTATTTATAAGATTTTAGATACATAGAAATGTAGTTTGTGTATGTTTTAATAATATTACATACATATTTGGATAAGTCTTATATTTTTAAGAGCATTTTTTATAAGGTTTTTTAAAAAGAGTATTTTTGAAAAGTGGCATTGAAAAAGTGGCATTTTTGCAAAAGCCTCTTTTTTCATTTACAATTTTATCATTTACAGTAATATTGAAGTTTTTTGGTATTTGGAAAATTGTCTTCTTAAAATTCAAACAAATCTATAAATTTTGCCAAATTTGTTATGTTTTGCATTAAAAAATGACTACGAAAACTTCTATTTTTTCCAATTGTTTCAATGATACCTCTCTTTTTGTAAAATCATTATATTCCTTCAAAAAAGTATATTTAGTTACTTATATTTTTCTAAAAGTGTTCGCTTTTAACTTCCATAGTCACTTTTGTTAATTTTTAGTGCGAGTTTTTTTCATTAATGAGTGTTTACATGGTATTACATATTCTATCGAAAAAAATCAAATAAACTAACAACAATGTTATCTACGCTTACAGCTGGTAAATAAGGATAAAAATATCATAGCTCTTGAAATTGATATTGTTTTCAATTAAAATGATTATATACCAAGATTTAGATTATTAAGCTTCCCAAAAAAATTGTGACATTGCTTTGGGTTGAATAATTTTGTTGTGGTTTTAGTTAGTGTTTTACTGTCTTACTCTTAACCGTCATTTATTTGTTGTCTGAATTTTAAACGTCATTCATTAGTTGTTACTACTTACTTTATATGTACAAGAATGATGAAAATATACAACTTACGCTTTTTGTAATCCTTAGGGAAGCCCAACATTCTCGTAATCCCACTTTCCACGCCCATATCGGAAATCTTGCTAAAAACCATGAAATAATATGGAAAGAAATCATGAACTAATATTAGAACGAAATCCATGAAGTAATGATTCGGAAATTTCATGAAATAATATAGAAATAAATCAAGAAATAAATGAAAATTTAAAATAGTAAAAACAATATTGTAAAAATTGTATTAGTAATAATAGTATAATTCAAATTTTATAAGAAAAAAATAATAATTAAAAGTGATCATATTTCAAAAATTTTAATATGATAAGTTTTAGAATAGAAGTAAGATTAAATGCATGGTATAGTAAAACAAAATTATATAACTCTATGTATATTATTTTAAACAGAAAAATAAAATTGAAAGTTAAACATTAGTTTTTAAAAACAATACACTACACAGAATTTTATTTATTATTACATTTTCACTTAAGAAAAAATAAAAGATTACTAAAATCAATTTAAAATTTAAAGTCGAAAAAATTGTAAAGGTCACACTTTTTATGAAATTATGTAAAAAGGGATCTTAAAATTCTTAAATATTATAATCCTTCTTTCAAAAAAAAAAATCAATGGTTATATTATTCATGAGTTCTACAACAGAATATACAAAATGATCTATAATTTATGTAGCATATCTCGAAAAAAATCTATCCTCAAGTGGAACTACAAATCTACAACTCTATAAATTAAAAAAAAAATAAGTTTGAAATTTCATCAACTGAATCAAAGAATTTTATGTCAATTTTAACATACAGCCTCGACGGCACCAAAAACATAGGAAAAATACAAATATAAATATAAATATTCCAAATATAACCCTTCCCAAATTCCTATCATCTCAAAAATCAAAATCCAAACCAAAAAAAAAAAACACTCTCACACTTCGATATCTCCGCCTTCTTCTCCTCTGAGCCAACTGTCCTTCGATTTCGATTTCGATTTCTCCGATCTCTCTCCCTCCGGCGCCGGCGAAACTATGTCTCAGTCCATCCAATTCTCCACTCCTTCACGCACTCCTCACCTTCTCAATCTCCCTCACTCACAATTCAACCGTCCTCTCTCCTCTATCTCCTTCCGTCGTTTCCCTCTAACAACCATCAAATACACTTCCATCAGAGCCTCCTCTTCGTCTCCGTCGCCTTCACCGGATCTTGATTCATCATCATCCTCGTCGTCGTCGCAGGTACTTCTCTCACCTAACGGTACTGGTGCTGTGAAGTCTGATGAGAGATCCGTTGTAGCTACGGCGGTTACGACGGATACGGCTGGGATTGAGGTTGATACTGTCACGGAAGCTGAGCTTAAGGAGAATGGATTTAGAAGTACGAGGAGGACGAAGCTGATTTGTACGATCGGACCGGCTACGTGTGGATTTGACCAGCTTGAGGCGCTTGCTGTGGGAGGTATGAACGTGGCGCGGCTTAATATGTGTCACGGTACTCGCGATTGGCACCGCGGTGTTATTCGTAGTGTTCGTAGGCTTAATGAGGAGAAAGGCTTTGCGGTTGCTATTATGATGGATACTGAAGGTAGTGAGATTCATATGGGAGATCTTGGTGGTGAATCTTCAGCTAAAGCAGAGGTTGTTTAATCTCTTCTCTTTCGATTCGAATTCGATGTAGACATTGTTGTGTTGTGTGTGTGATTTAGATGTTTTAGCGTTGGTGATGATATTTTTACAGGATGGTGAGATTTGGACTTTCACTGTTAGAGCTTTTGATTCTTCTCGTCCTGAACGTACCATTAGTGTGAGCTACGATGGTTTCGCTGAAGGTATATGTAATTCTGTTTATGTAAAAGTGGAAGTGGAGAACTTTAGATGAATAGGAATCAATTGGTTTTGTTTGTGATGTAGATGTAAGAGTTGGGGATGAACTTCTAGTTGATGGTGGAATGGTGAGATTTGAAGTGATTGAGAAGATTGGTCCTGATGTTAAGTGTCTATGTACCGATCCTGGATTGTTGCTTCCTCGAGCTAACTTGACGTTTTGGAGAGATGGAAGTCTTGTACGAGAGCGTAATGCCATGCTTCCAACTATTTCTTCCAAGGTTTGTAATTTTTTATCTTCCTAAGGTTTGGGTTATGATTCACTTTATTTGGTAAATTTAGGAGGGATCAAAGCAATGTGAGGATGTACATTTTTGGAACCTAGATGAGTCCATGTTAGCAAAACAGAGGATAAATAAAGTAAAGTAACTACGAAAGATACAAGTAGCTATATCACAATAGCAGTTCGTTCTCTAAGTAACTAGAGTCCATGTGAATCTATGAGTGTTGATTTTAAATGCGAAGTCTTTATTTTATCTCCTAATTAATGCTGAAGGAGGAATGATGTTCTTACTCAGAAATTAGAACATATAGAATATCTCCCTGAGGGAATCAGGGAGAACATACTCATTTTCACTGATGATACCTTAATTCTTTATTTTCAGGATTGGTTGGATATTGATTTTGGAATTGCTGAAGGTGTGGATTTCATTGCTGTATCGTTTGTCAAGTCGGCTGAAGTTATTAATCACCTTAAAAGTTATCTTGCTGCTCGTTCCCGTGGAGGGTAAGTAAACATGCTCAATATCAACACATTTTACTACTGTATAAGAAAGATATGATCTACTTTGGGGGTCAGGCTATAATAGGATTTGGTTTTGCGTTATGTTAACACCATCTTTATTTTGATGTTGTATTCATTTATGATGCAGGGAAATTGGAGTAATTGCAAAGATCGAGAGTATCGATTCATTGACCAATTTGGAAGAAATTATTCTAGCGTCAGATGGAGCCATGGTCGCAAGAGGAGATCTGGGAGCTCAGATACCTCTTGAGCAAGTTCCAGCAGCTCAACAGAGAATCGTGCAAGTCTGCAGAGGGCTGAACAAACCTGTCATCGTTGCTTCACAGCTACTTGAGTCCATGATTGAGTACCCAACTCCAACCAGAGCAGAAGTTGCCGATGTGTCTGAAGCAGTAAGACAAAGATCAGATGCATTGATGCTCTCTGGAGAATCAGCTATGGGTCAATTCCCAGACAAGGCGCTCACGGTTCTAAGGACTGTCAGTTTAAGAATCGAGAGATGGTGGAGGGAAGAGAAACGCCACGAGTCTGTGCCGCTTCAAGCCATAGGCTCTACCTTTTCAGACAAAATCTCAGAAGAGATTTGTAACTCTGCTGCTAAAATGGGTAAATAATTCAGGTTCATTGTTTATCTCAAAAGAATCTGTCTTGAGTATCTCATTTTATCATCCAAAAACTTGCAGCTAACAATCTTGGAGTGGACGCGGTTTTCGTCTACACAACAAGCGGACACATGGCGTCATTGGTCTCCCGATGTCGCCCAGACTGCCCGATCTTTGCTTTCACAACCACAACCTCGGTGAGAAGACGCTTAAACCTACAATGGGGGCTTATCCCATTCCGTCTCAGCTTCTCAGACGACATGGAAAGCAACTTGAACAAAACATTCTCGTTACTGAAATCAAGAGGCATGATAAAATCTGGTGACCTCGTGATCGCAGTCTCGGACATGTTGCAATCAATCCAGGTAATGAACGTCCCGTAATTTCTCCCTTTTTCCAATTTCGCAATCCCGCAAAGAGTGTTTTGTTGCTGTCTTTAGACTACTCTTACATTAGATTCCAGAGGCATCGTCATCTTCGGTTTGTTAACAACAGTGGACGTGTGCCACGAATGTGTAAGCTTTGTTTGTAGTGTACTGTTTGTTTTTGGTTTTCAATAATATCAGTAATCTTATTCTAGTAATTCGATTCTATGTCATTAAGTCCTTTTGTTATAGCTTTTAGTTTTTAGCCTTTTGAGATCTAAAGTAGATAGGAAATTAAGTGAGTTTGTTTTTAAACAAAATCCAAAAAAAAAATTCTCAAAAACTACTAAGGAATTAAGGAGAATGTAAACCCAAATAGGATTAGGAGTTAGAATAAATACCATAATATATTATAAATGTGTATACTCTTCTTAATCACAATTAGAATCGCCTCTCCATTAGAAAAGATATTGAAGAAACAGGAAAAGTTGCAAGAGACCTCGGATGAAGAATCAGGAGATAGATTTTTATCAAACTCCGTCGGATTGTTCGGACGAAGAGATTCAACGAAGTTGCGAGTTTGTGAAAAAAGTGAAAGAGTTGGATGATAAGACAATCATCGTTAAATTTGTCAATGCAATGAAGTCTTATCATTATCAATCTAAGTCTTTAAGCTACATCGATCTCAAAACCAAAGTCGCTTCCATTCTTCGTAATCACGACGTTTTGCTCCAAGAATTCTATCAGCTTCTATTGGATTTACCTATCACGGAGAAGAATTGTAACTCGGCAAAATCAGACGTAGAACGCACGGTTGAGTTCATGAACAAAGTGGAAGCTTTGGGGAAGGATTTACACGGTGTGTTTCTAAATCTGTTTGCCTTTGGCGGTGATATAGTGACTTTGATTGAACAATTCGACGTGATTTTCCGCGATCACGCATCTCTTAAAGAGGAGTTTAAAGCGTTTCTAATCGATTCCCGTATACTCAAAAACCCGAAACGTGGTTTTGAGGCGGAGGTTGAAGAGTCGAGGTACATGGCGCCGTCGTATAAGACTAGACTTGAAGCTGAAGAGGAATTATCATCGTCTATTCTCGTCAATTTTCACACATAACACACTTATACATTGATGCTTTCTTTGCTTGTAATCTATCTAAAACTCGGGATTCTACATTCTACGGATGACGGGCTTATTTTCTAATGTTGGACCCATTTAGGCCCGCAGTTTTAAGCCCACCACAACATCTTCAATATATAATCATTGTCAATATATAGCTTTTTGATGTTCTTATTGTTATGGAACGCTGAGGGATTATATTAATTCGCCCCAATCAAAGTTAAAACCAAAAAATGGTGCGATAAGTTACAAAAACAACCACTAATTTTTGTATAGTTTGTAAAATTACTACAATTATACCCTATTTTTCCAAGAGTACTATTTTAGATACAAATTTATAAATTTCTATTTTAATGTGTCCGATTGGTAACACAAAACTGTACAAATTTTTTTAGCTGGAGCTATAAGCTTTTTCGGAATAGTACAAAACTGTAAGAAAGAGTTGTACGAGAAAGCTGTACAAAAAAGCTGAGAGTAAAACTTTTAGTAACGCTTTTGATAAAGCTTTTGTGATTGGTAACTGTCAAAACTTTACAGCCTATACCGCTTTGATAATGGATTACCATTCAAACCCCAATATGTCTTTCAGAAAGTTTTGGGGTCTTCTGACCAATCTTTTCTATGTTCTAAATGTCACATTCCGAAAGTAAACCGTGAAACTCACTCAAAGAATGATTTAACTATCTTGCAACACCAATTTTACACTCCGACACTAATGAGAAGTACATATCAAACATTATTGAATTTGTCAAGTATTTCTCTGAATTAGTTCAACATAGTCAAGCTGTTTTTTTTTAATCTACTATAGTTTTTATATAGTTTATATTAAATTAATGTAAATCAAATAATATTGGAGGATTTGATCATATCTTCCCTTCTACTGTTTGCATCACTTAAACCAGTGGTCCCATTTCTATTATAATAGAAGCAAATGGACCCAATCATATATTTTAAATGTAAAAGACTCACAAGTTTTAGATTAATCATGAAACAGTTCAATAATTCAATTATTATATGTAGTCAGAATAGGGACCTTTAATTAAGTGGGGATGTGCTTTTAGTCAAATGGTTAAGTCCATTTGATTCCGCATTCTCCACCGGAGTTCGACTCCAGTAAGTCGCGTTATCCCGCGTAGTAGAAATTGACTATGGATCGAGCTTTGTCGATCCAAAAATGTCAAAAAAAAAAAACTTTAATTAAGTAGGTAGTTAATACTTTACGGGTCCGAATTATAAAGACATATATAAACAAAATAAACAATGTAATAAAGGGAATTGATAATAGAGACAACAACAATAGCAAACAATAAATTAAGAAATTTTATCCATGTTATTGGCTGTGAATTCAACCACTAAATTATGAACATCGTACATATACCACCCACTTTTATGATAGAAATTAACAAATGTATTATTGGAAATAAATTGTTACATTGCATGAGAAAGGTCTGTCTTTGGTTCAACTATTTTTAGGTTATCTTCTCTAAATACTACAACTAATCAAAAGATCCAATCTTCACTAAATAAGTAACTCTCTTAAAATGCTTGCTTTAGCAAATATGTATATACGTGCTTTGTTTTGTCTGCACAAATCTGAATTACCAGAATAATAGGAATATTTTCAAAAGAAACAGCAACGAAACTCCAAAAACAAAAAGAAGCAAAAAACAGGTAGGGTAATGATGATGTAAAGCAGTATATGTATTTGTGTAAAAAAAAATATATATATAATATATATAACCATCATATCATTATTATTATTACATTTTCCCATATATATATGACTATAAGTATGGACAAGACCTTCATTATCAAAAGCCTTTATGTCTTCTTCAGTCCTTTTCTGATTTGCTAAATTTAATATTTAGATCTGATCGCTGATCTCTAACCCTAAAACTCATTTTTCTCTTATCCATGTGTGCAAGCAATCATATAATATATATTATTATCATTATTTATTTTTTTCAAGGGTCCACACTTACTTTTATTTTTATGTATTCGATTCTGCATTTTATCCGGATTCAGAATTTTAAGATATGGTGTTCGGTCAATAAAAACTCCAACGATACCATTGTACTATAACGTCTTTGAACATATATGTGATATTTAAATATTTACTCTAAAGTTTATTGACTCTGTATTTATTGAAATTCCTGAAATTTCAAAGCATCTTCGAGAATGCTTATGCAACAAACTTATTGATCTACATGTACGTTTCTATATTTGTTGTCAGAGATGTACGTGAATATAATAATATGAAACGATATATAATACGTATAAATACATTATATACCATCATATTAGGAAGTGACAAAAAAAATCATCATAATAAGAATATAGAAACTAATTTATGTAATGAATATTAAAATTATGAAGAGTAGATTGATAACTAAGATAAGGTTAGATTTAAACTTATGGAATATTGAAATGGGGTAGGCCAACCAATGGGGATATTTTAAGATGATGATGACGTTTCCCATTTTTATTTCTACTGTAACAAACTTATTAATTTCTTCTTGTTTTTTTTATAATATACATTTGTTTATCCTCCGAAATTTTCGCATTTATTTACTGGCACCGAGGAAGAGATATGTAGCATTCTTACCATGACTTTGGAAGTGTTATTTATCGTCACGACATAACTAATTATTTCAAAAGACTAAAAATATAAAATAATAGTCCCTATGTTTCAAAAAAAATTAAAAATGTTTAAGGTTCATGATGAATTCAGCATGAACCTATGAATCTCACAAAACAAAGATGTACTACATTTTCAACCTCACATTAGGGTGTGTTATTAAAATTGAACTATTTGTTAGGTTTGAACAAAACCATTAAAACCCAATCCACCAAAACGAAAAAGAGTTATACCTGAACTTCTGCCTAAACCACCAAATAAAAAAAAAAGAGTTCGCTAAACACAGGAAAAGTTCTTACATGATCAGCTCGTTTTTTAGGCTTTCACAATTATATTAGATGCGATATATAGTGTCTTTGGATCAGTGTAAAACATCAATAGATTATTTTATTTTATTTTGGCTAGTTAGAGTTTGAAAAGATACGACTATGAATTAGATAGAGTCTTTTCATGGAGTTTAATTTGGATCGTGTTAGACGTTACACACGATTCTACTTTCTATAGATATTATATTTATTTAAATGGTTAAAACTCAAAAACTCCAATTTAGAGGACACAATTAACAAAAGAGAGTGATGAGTGAATGATGATATGGTACAAATTCACTTAGCTAATCATATATCATCAGAAAAAAAAATCTCTACGTATAAGACGATAATGTCCACATCATTTAAATTTAATCACAAATTCATATATTTTCATGTTATTGAAATTCACTTAAACATAATTCATTTAATTACTGGATTTATCAAGTTTTTTGGGTTTATGTTGAAACTAGAGGAGGATTTGTGGGAAAACTCTTTATTATGTGTTGTTAATCTCAAGAGAATTGATACACAATATATAGAGACTAACTTATGTTTAACCTACAATTGGAATAGGAAATAGATAAACATGAATAAGTAAATATTATAAATCTCTTAATCCTTATCACAATAGGATATCTAGAATATTCTTCGGCTTCACGGGTTTCATAGGCTTCACGGGCTTGGTCCGCTGTCTTGCTTCCCAAGTTACCTCAATACTCCCCCGCACGACAAACGTGGTACGCAAAACGCAAGCTTTGCAATCACAAAGCGGAACACGTATGTCGTGGACAATATGTCGAAGACGGACAAATCATGTCAACACACGCCTCAGGGTTTAAGCTTCAACTTTGAAAATAGGGGTGGAATTTTTGCTCGTCTTCGGTCTTGGTAAAAGGGAATACATCCCGTGGGCGCAAATTATGCTGCTCCACAAACAATCATCCTTATCTTAGATGGTCCATAACTCGGACTAAACATGACCTAAAAACATGAGCGTTCCAATAAACTATACTAATGGTTAAACTATAACCAAACTCCCCCGTAATGGTAAAACTATTACCAAACTCTCCCACAATAAGAAAAGCGAGATATAAAATTACTCTGAAAAATTCTTAACTCAAGAATAATTCTAGAAACAATAAAACTAGAAACCCATATAAACCATAAACCCTTAGAATCATTACTAACTAAGAGTAAATTTCTTTTCTTAAAAAAAAAAAACGAAAAACCAAATTCCATTGAATTATAATTAAAAATCTAACGTGGAACAAATCCACACTTAATGTCATCATCTTCATCGTCTCCGTCCCCACCGTCTTCAACGTCAAGTCCTTCGACGGTCATTGTTTCCATGATCTCTTCTGAGTGTGAGATCACAAAACTTTAAATGCAGAATTTTAATTTTGATCCACAAGGATCGACTGCTCTGATACCATATTGAAACTAGAGGAGGATTTGTGGGAAAACTCTTTATTATGTGTTGTTAATCTCAAGAGAATTGATACACAATATATAGAGACTAACTTATGTTTAACCTAATTGGAATAGGAAATAGATAAACATGAATAAGTAAATATTCTAAATCTCTTAATCCTTATCACAATAAGATATCTAGAATATTTTTTGGCTTCACGAGCTTCATAGGCTTCACGGGCTTGGTCCGCTGTCTTGCTTTCTAAGTTACCTCAATAGTTTAAGTACAACTTCAACTGTATATCTGCACATTTAGAAGAAAACAATTAAATTTTTTTTATATAGTTTTTGATATTTTATATGCAATTTTTCGACTTGTGTTTAAAAACACAATCGAGTTGAAGATCAATGTAACTTTATGAAAGTGAATATAATACGTGTGATTGTGAAGGTAAAATAATCACAATCTTTTCTTTTTTATGTGATTGTTAGATATAATATTTGTCATAATTTATACAGACTTTTAAAAGTATAACAAAAACTACGAGTTAAAAGGCAAGACTCGGTGACAATAAAATTATTGATTGATATGTGAGTCTAATCGTATATATTGTATTCTTTGATCTCTAACATAAGTTACGTTACATCTATGTGTAGCATTCAATGTAGGCCAAACATGTTTAATACAACAATATTCTCTAAAAGTCTACTCAATGATAGTTAATAAGTCTTAAGGTTAAGT